GGGGAGGAGGGGGACACACTTCCAGCCAGCCTCTTACACCTGGCTGGTGATTCTGTCTCTTTTCTACATGGTTTTATGTGTTCCTGTAAGAATTGGGGTGTGGGAGGAGCTTCAGTCCCTCCTCTTCCCTCCCCCTCTTCCCCCCCCCACAACCAAATCCTTGCCTTGCTTTACACTGTCATCAAAGGAAGCTGCATACCGAATTTGGTGGTGCTAGCTCTTACCATTTAGAAGTTCTTGAACAAACAGACTCACTTGCTCAGTGTCTCAAATATATAGTGGTTGCTTGCTCTCTTGCAAGCAATATAGGGTACATGAGAATTAAATTTATAAATGAATTAATATAGGTTTCCAAAGATTTAAGGCTTCACCTTTTAAACTTAAAAATTACATTGCCTCAAATATATAGTAGATTTATAAATCTCTTGTTAATTTGAGTAAAGGTTGCAGAACTGGGCCTTCAGTAGGTTTTTTTAGTAAGGTGAGAAGGATTACCAGCTGTTCCTCTGCTCTCCAAGAACAGTGGAGTGAAATAAAAAGACCACGAGGGTTAACAAATGCAACGTTTGCTTCCCATATAGTCATTTGATTTAACTATGTGAATCCAACCATTACAAGAAATTAAGGTGGAAGTATGCTGTTTTCCCAGTCTTAAATCTTGGGATCTGATCTAATTGTATAGATAGATGTTAGGGATGTTAAATGTCAATTGTTTGGCTAATCGAATAGTCAGTGCATTTTGCATCGACAGTTTGATTAGTGGATAAGGGTGCCTTCGCCTTTGAAATGTAGCAATAGCTCTGGGGCTGTTGCTACACTTCAAAGACAAAAGCATTGTGGGGAGCACCGGATCAGTGGAGACTCAAGCAGTCCCCCACTAACCCCATGCTCCCGCGGCATTTCAAAGCAGCAGCGCTGTGTGGAGCCCTTGAGTCTGGCTGCCGCTTTGAAGCGCTGCTTTGAAGCACCCCTTCCTCTCCTCCTCTCCCCCGCTGCCTCTTTCTGATAAAGGCAGCAAGTCAGGGGATGTATCTAGTCGACTGGCATGTCGACTATCCAATAAGCATTTGCTCTTCGGATATTCAACTAGTTGATCACATCTTAGATTATATGGTGCTTCACAGGAATGCACGATGTACATATCCATTCCTGACATCTTTCATTTTAACACATATGGATCCCATGGGTACAAAGGGAATATTCCTGTTGTAGCTTGCACTGACTACTGAAGTATTTTCTCTCTGCACTGTGAATGAGCGTATACATTGTTTCATTCATATAAAAGGGGGTGAATTACATAATATATTTATTTGTATAGTACAGCTGTGTACTATGCACTTTACAGACAAATGTGAGTACAGGCAGTCCCCGGGTTACGTACAAGATAGGGACTGTAGGTTTGTTCTTAAGTTGAATTTGTATGTAAGTCGGAACTGGTACATATTGTAGGGGAAACTCTAGCCAAACATTTCTCCAGAGCTCAGTTTTATTCTCCCACACCTCACTCCCCTCATCCTTTATTCTCAAGCTGAGGTGTCTGCTGAGAAAAGCCGCTCCGCGTCTCCCTGGTCTGCTGGGGTGGGGGGTGGCGCTAGCTTTGCATCTCCCTGGTCTGCTGGGGGGAAGCAGCTAGTGCGGGGTTGCCTCACCCCGTTTGTAAGTAGGGATCCGATGTAAGTCGGCTCCATGTAACCCGGGGACTGCCTGTATATGGGTATGAGAATCTGACTACTGCATACCTGTTTGCAAGCTAATGTTTCCTATGCAAATCACTTCCAAATACGTTAACATTCTGCCTCTACATCACAGTCATTCAATGGTTGCATAAATATGAAACTTCAGCATTGCTATTTAAAGCATTACTGAAATGGTTACAGGTTAGGGGTTTCTGAGCTGTATGGAGGGTTGTCTTGTTTAAAATAGTTGCTAATACAGGCCATCCAGAGAATCATCATCTTTGATGTACGTATCAAAAAGGTATGCAATTGCTCAGCAATTAGCCCAGTAAAAACCCTAGGTGGTGCCTTGCAGTAGAAAAGAATAATTCTCAGAGAATTGGCAAGCGATAATGGCCTCTCTCTTTCTGTGATAATTTGCTTCATCACCCTGAGATAAGAACCTTGTTGAATTTTAATGAAATGGAATAAAGTGATCTACTTGATAGGCAACAAGCTCATTACTTTTCACCACTGATTTTCTTCAGGGCTAACAGGTATTCAGTTGTTTGTAACCCATTGCTTATGTATAAATTTGTTCTTCACACAAGCTTTCTTTTTTGTATCACTTATGAAGACTTATGTAACTTTCCAGATAATATGAATGGCTATGCACAGTACAGAAACTTGACAATCCTACGCAACCTCACACATGTTAATTCTTGGCAGTTTGTCAATAGACATCCCAGGGCAAAGTTCTATTGAGCTTGCTGGCACTGTGATGCAGAAAGTGACTGCTTGAGGGTATTATGGAAGAGCCGTGCTTGGTTAAAACAGTTATTTATATTGTATATCTTTACACAAACACCTTATTGCACAAGTTAACACAAAGCAGTAAGAGGTCATATTTTGTGATATTGGAGCTCTGATTTTTATGATCTTTAGTGCTCTTCACCTTTCTGCCGGCTTCATTGATGTAGCAGAATATATTAACTAATGAGGTAACACTTGTAGTAATGACCTATATAAACACTTGAAAGACCACCCGGTGTTTGTGTCAGAATATTTTGAGACCTATTGTGTCCATTGATTAAAGTGTTGGACTTAGCGTCAGGATATATGGTTTCTGTTTCTGCATCTTCCGTAGCCTGTGATATCTTAAGTTACTTGTGCTTCCATATTTTAAAATGGACATCTTTACTTGAAAGGAGGGTTGGGGAACCTACGGCCTGCGGGCTGGATCTGGCCCCTGCCTTACCTTCATCTGGACCATGGTGAGACTTAATAGTTTCAGAAAAAATACCGAACAAAAAAATCAAAAACACACCAGGAAATAGTTTGTTGGGCAAAAAAAGGACCCTGAGAGTTCTTTAAAAAAAAATTGGCCCCTTTAAAAACTGTGTGGTGAGGCTTTTTGGCCCGAACAGGCTGCTCATGGCCATTTTGACTCCCTGCGCTGGGCCGGACAGCTCCCCTGTGGAAGCCAGTAAGCAGTAGGATTGCCAGGCTGCCTCCATATTGAGCCCAACAGCCTGGGTTTTTCACCTCCTGGCCGGGAAAAAATCAGAAAGTACTGGACATTTTAGGTGTCTAGTATTTGCTGAATTTTTTTACCGGACAGGAGGCGAAATTACCGAACTGTCCGATTCAATACTGGACAACTGGCAACCCAAGTGAGACTCGGGGCTTCCCCCTTACCTCACCCAGCAGCTCAACAGCAAGTCTCTGACCCTTGGTGCCCTCTTGTCCCCCCCCTTCCCCAGGCTGGAGCACGAGGCGAGCCCTGATGCCCCAAATTGTGTGAGGGAGGGGAGGTGTTTTGTGTGGCACCCTGCCCCAACTGATTTTTCTGGGATCAGTGGCCCCCAGCTTTAAAAAGTATTATGAAAAACAACACTTTGGCAGTTTGGAATTGCAGCAGGCTTCATATTGATTGTCTTTTTTTTTTTTTAATTGTGTGATGTCATGTGAGTTCTAAGTTGCTAGCATTAAAAAAGTGTGTGCATGAGAGAGAAGACCTAACTTCAGCAGCACTTACTGGGAAAAACACAAAAAATTACGTGGCCTTTGCAAGGAGATATGAGAAATAGAAAAAAATGGGACCCTTTCAGCCTTGACAACGTGCATTTGAATGATCAACCAGCTGCTTATATGACTTCACTTTCTATAAAACCAGCAGACTTACCTGTCATTGCCCGGGTCCTTCGGGATAGGGGGCTGGTAGTGCGGGGGGTGCAAGAGTCAGGGTAGAGCTTTTGGGCTATGTGGAGGGCAGTGCAGGAGGCTGGGGGCCAGGCAGGTGTGAAAGGGTTGAAGATGAGTAGGGTTCAGGGAGGAGGGCCTCAACTGACATGGGCCCTTTTTCTCCCTGCCTGGTTGCCAGGAGCATCCCTTCCCCTCACCCTCCCCCCATCCCGGCACTGCAGCTAAGGGCCCAGGAGGAGGTAACAGATTTAGGAAAGGGATGTGCTGGCAGGAAGGAGGTACAGCCCCAGCCCTGTTGGCCACTCTCTTTGGTGGTGTGGCTGCTTCCAGTGGATAGCTCTCACGCGTGGGCTTGCAGCCCCCAGTGGCCATTCTCATCGCGTCCCTCCGAACAGCAGCCCCTCTCTTTTCATGTTATGGAAAACAGTCCTTTTCCCGGGGATTCCAGTTGTCCTGGCAAACCAAACCCTGACCTTCCTTTAAGTTAGGAGAAGAGGAAAATGCCTACCTAATTTGGTGGCCCTAGCTCTCACAGTTTAGGAAGAATTCTTGAACAGACTCACTCACAGATGCACTCTAAAATATGTATATAGATATGAGAGAAATTTAAAAAAAGATTGGCATAAAACGTTTTGTAACAGTAGTAAAAATTTCCTTTTTGCCACTTTGTAAAAACAAAAATTCAAAAGCATTTTGTGTAATTTTAAAGATTCATTAACCTAAACCATCTTATGTTAGAATAAACCTGTTTTGTTCTATTGGTGGTCAGTCTTATTTCAGGAAAGCTTTTATAAACAAAAAGTATGTTGTACATTTTTTTTATAGAGACAATGTTTTCTTGTCTTTCCACTCTTAACCACAAGTGCTAAAATTAATATCAGTTGTCTTTTTTTTTTTCCCCTTTGCAGTACGTTTCTCTACCTGAAATTCCTGGTTGTGTGGGCTCTAGTGTTGCTGGCAGATTTTGTCCTGGAGTTCAGGTTTGAATATCTGTGGCCTTTTTGGCTTTTCATCAGGAGTGTTTACGATTCATTCAGATACCAGGGTTTGGTAAGTATAACAGAAAACACCTGAAAACTCATTGTCTGGTTCTGATAGCAAATACCCCGTAACAGGGGAGAGTTCCAGGGCATATACATACAAGCAATTTGGCATGCTTTATTGATGATTGCTCTTGAAAGAAAAGATGGTCTAGCAGTTAGGACGCTAGCATAGGACTTGAGAGACCTGGATTCAAGTTTCTTCTTTGCCACAAACTTCCTGTTTGGCCGTGTGCAAATCATTTAGCCCCTCTGTGCCTCAATTTCCCAACTGTAAAATGGGAATAATAGTACTTTCCAGGGGGTACTGAAAGTATAAAGGCACTAAAAAGATTGAGTCCCTCTGGTGTCATAGTAAGGAGGGTCATAAATGGGTTAGTTTGATTGTGTAGCTACTTTTTTTTTGTTTTGTACTTTCTCTCTGTCTCCTCCCTATAGCCTACCTGAAAATTAGCAAGTTTTGTAATTCTGCTGCAACTTCCTCAAATTGATTAATTTGTTATAGAAATCAGACTGCTATTTAAAAACAGAAAATAAATAGTGAAATCTACATTTTTTGTTTAAACAATCTGTGGTGTTCCTTTACATGTGTAATAAATGTGTTATTTAAAAATATGGGCCAGTGTTTTACAAAATGCCTTATGCAAGTAAGTGCCCAGTTCCAATGAATTCCAATAAGATTTGGGGACTCATTCCATGAAAAATCCTAGCTACAGTTCGTAATTGGACACTGTGCCTATTACTTAAGTTGGCTCAAAATTCAGGTTTTACTTTACTTGACCTTCCCCAACAGGAACAGTATAACAATAAGTAGGATTTTAACTGCAGTTACTAAAAATAAGTGATAGCAATCTACTAATAACACTTTCAACTATGAGTTAATAAGGGAAATAATTATAAAATACTGTGTTTTTATGTGAAGAAAAATTATGAAGATTTGTGGATTTTTTCAGTGTGAGGATTATGTATTTTAAATATAGCCAAAAACTATTCTTTTAATGCAAATAGTTATTAAACATTGGTTAATCTGTATCTTAAAAATCTTAGGAATATAGTGCACCTTTTAAAATACCTACAGTGTCTGTTAAAGGGCAGTTATGCCTATGGAAAGAGAATATATTCCTTTAAATTATAATTTGGTATTTATAAATCACTTTATGGCTTTAACAGCTTTATTTCCCAAACTACTAATAGGGGGTTTTGGTGGTTCATGTGAGAGAAAAAGTCTTGCTGGCCATGCAGTTACAATCAAATAATTGCACACTTCAACTGTAATGAGCCACGAGGCAAAACCCAAATTTCTCCAACAATTCAGAATAGAAATGATCTCCTAATTCTGAATGCCCTGGAACACCGGAAGCATTATATCATATCGTATAGTAGTGGTCCATGTAGGCCCATGTCCTATCTAGTAATGAAAATAAGGAAAGTTTCTGCATTGCTGCTGTCGGTGATTTGGCTTTTGTGCTGAAGCATCAGGATTTATATCCTTATATATTTTTATCCCATTAATATAACCTGGATGTTGTCATCCATTTAAATACCTAATTCTTTTTTGTAAGTTTGCTATCACAGAATGGTATTGTTGACATCAAGAGGATAATTCTGAATTGGGTTCTGTTTGTATAAGTGGCTAATAATGGTTCTAACCAATACAACCAAATTACTCTGTTAGTTCGCCCCATTGTATAAATAATAGTAACTTTTTAATGTTGAAATAACCCTGATGACACCTACTCTGTACTTTATATTTAGCATATAAAGCAGTCGTTTCCTCTGGAATATAATTGAACCATTAAGATGCTGTCTTTTTTCCCTTTTCTCAGGCCTTTTCAGTATTTTTTGTTTGTGTAGCATTCACATCAAATATAATATGTCTGCTCTTCATCCCAATACAATGGCTATTTTTTGCTGCCAGCACGTATGTATGGGTACAGTATGTCTGGCACACAGGTAGGTCAACATTCTTTCAGCTACAACTTATTAGTTAAATATAAATCTTACCATTGCATAGCAAAATTCAGTAATATAGTTTATTTATTAAATCATCATCTTTCAACTAGAGTTGTGCCTTCCCTTTGTTTCATAGATCTATTTGATGTCCCTTTTTTATGGGAACTAATTAATTTAATTTAAAAATAACCTTAACTCAATGTCCTGTATTTGAGGTTTCTCTTTCACCCTTTTTTGTGAACAATGAGGCACCTTAACTAGTGGCACAAAAAGTGTAGCTATGGGGGGGTTCCCAGAACAGCCTAATCTAGCTATGTCTGACCTTGCTACAAAACTGTTTTAACTCAGGAAATTTGGAGCACAAATACAAAAAGAACTGGAGTTTTGTGAAACAATACTGTCACTATCTTTCTATTTACTGTAGATTAGAGTTGTTGTCACTGAGAGAGTAATGATGAAGCAAATGTATATTTCCCCCCTTATCAGAACATGATTTGTACCTTTTTATTTAAAAAATTATTTTAGCTAGCATCATTAATATTTGCTGGTTAATGCAATTGTCACACAAACGTGTGTTGCTGTCTCCAAATGGTTAAAGTAAAAAAGTCAGACTCCCAAAAATCATGACTGGTTTAAAAATCCTAAGACTATTTTAAAAATAAATGTTGTGTTTTTGTTTGGCTTCTAAACCTTAGAGTGCACTCAAGTTATGTTTTCAAAGTGTTTTCTACATCCACGAGGGCTAGAAACTTTTTTAAATGAAAGTGGAGATTTCACCTAATCATGTACCTCAAAAAGCTGGAGCTTTAAGAAAAACACGAAATATCACAAGACACCATAAAATCACAAGAGTTAGCAACTCTCCAGTGAGAGTTTCTTTACCTTCCTGCGGAGACCTCTTGCCAACAATCTAATCATTTGTAATAACAGCATGTGGGAGCCCAGTGGAAGACTGAGAACCCTTTGCTGCCCATATTTAATAACGGTTTAAACAACCCTAAAATAACTCTAGGATTTTTAAAAAACATTTAAAATGATTGCCCAAAGTTTTTCTTGATGTCACTTCTCAGGAGGTCCCTGTAGACTCTGCCCGTAGACTTAGAAACCCTAAAGCA